GGAGGGGCTCTAGTTCCCACGCCGTCCCCTCGACCGAGGTGGGAAAGCATTCGTAGCCGAGGCTCGCCGTGGCCAGAACAGCTCCTTCGTTCCATGTTGTCGGAATTCTAGACGCGTCGCGTAACCCCACCAGCGTTCTGCATGTTGCACGTGTGTGGGTTGGCGCCCTCTTGGCGGCTTCCTCCAGTCGTGGCCTGGCCTTCACTAATTATCTGGCATTGCGCCCTATTGTTTTCTGACACGCCCTCTGGACTTTTCCTTGCGGGCCGCCGAACAAAAAAGTAACCCCACCAGCCCATCCAGAAAAGATGCCCAAAGGAATTGCCTCGATCAGGGAACTGGGCAGCGCACAGAGGAAGGGTCCCCCAGTGGAGGCCTCTTGGAGCGTCTTGGGTGCCTCGGAGAGTTTTTGGGGGCCTTTTGGTGGTCTTTTGGGGCCATATTGGAGGCCTCTTGAGTGCCTGTTGGGGCCTCCTGGGCGCCTCTTGGGAGCGTTCCCGGGGCCATTTTGGAGGACACCGACCAAACAAGAAGCGAACATTAGTTAGCGCTGCCCCTCGGGAGCCCAAAAAATCGCCTCTTGGGGCGCTCTTGGAGCGCTCTTGGGCGTTTTGGGGGCCGTATTGGGGCTCTCTTGAGCCCTCCTTGGAGCCATCTTGGGGCCGCCATCGGAAGCGAAGAGGCGAGAAAACCAAAAACATAGATGTTCCTAAAGTGTTGGCCTTTTCGGGGCCGTTTGGGGGAGCTCTTTGGCCACTTGGAGCCGTCTGCCTTGGAGCGGGGCATCCTGGAGCATCGTGGGAGCCATTATGAGACATTGTCGGATATCTTGAGCCATCTTGGAGGTCATTTTGGGTTCCCCCAGTCGGTTTTGGAGTCATCGTAATCCGCCCCCCCCCAAGAGGCACACATGTGACTAAAACTGGAGCATATCGGGTGCCTCCGAGGGGTCTCTTAGGGGCCTCTTGGGGTCTTTTGGGAGCCTTTTGGGGGGCATCCTGGGGGCCTCTTGGGGCTTCTTGGCCACCTCTTGGGACCTTCTTGGGGCACCCTTGGGAGCCGTGGGGGCCATCTTTGAGCCATCTTGGGTGAGATCGATCACAGGAGGAGGGGTCCCTAATTAGGGCCCACCCCCTCAGGAGGCCAAAGTGGGGCCAAAACCTTGGTAAATCCAATGAGTTGGGCTTCCTCGCCGAGGCCGTGTTGGACGCCCGCAAGCCGTCTCGCGCACCCCCACCCGCCCTCCCAACACATACGTAGCACCCGAGCCTGGCCCGAGCCGCAGCGTATTCAGCAGTCGTTTTTGGATGGGCAGCTACTGGGGGCGAATCCGCCGCCGCCGCATCCGCCGCATCCGCCGCCGCCGCCGCCCGCCGCCGCCGCCGCGCCGCCGACGCCGCCGCCGCCGCTATCCGCCGCCGCCGCCGCCGCGCCGCTATCCGCCGCCGTCCGCCGCCGCCGCGCCGCCCGCCGCCGCCGCCGCCGCCGCCGTCGTGCCGAATCGCCGCCGCCGCTGCCGCTGCCGCCGCAGTCGCTGCCGCCACCGCTGCCGCCGCCGCCGCCACCGCCGCCGCCGCCGCCACCACCACCGCCGCCACCGCCGCCGCCACCGCCGCCGCCGCCAAGTGTACTCTGTATTATTGAATCGCTTCGCTCATTCCGCCGGCCCGTGATATGGCATCGCTGGTTTTTGTCTGTGTGTTCGTTGCCCATGTTGCGCTCTTGGGGGCGGGTGTCGTTCGGACGCGTTGCGTGGGGAGTTTTGATGGTGAAGCAGTTCCCTGGGGGTCGTCTCTCGATGGGGCGAAATAGAGTCGTCGTCAAGATGCTTCTTTGGGGGGCCTCTTGGGGTCTGTTGAGAGGCCGTTCGGGGGCGCCTGGGAGACATGTTTGAAGCCTTCTGGGGCTTCTTTTGGGCCTCCTGGGAGTCTCCTGGGGCCTCTTGGCGACATCTTGGGGCCTCTTGGAGGCCTCTTGGGGCCTCTTTGGGACCTCCTGGGCGCCTTCTGGGACGGAGGGCTCCATTTTTGAGTTCTCGGTATCCCTCCTGAGTCCCTCTTGGGCCCGTCTTGGGGCCTCTTGGTCCGTCTTGGGCGGCACTTGGGCCGTCTTGAGGGCTCTCTTGGGTCGTTTCGGCGCCGTCTTGGGAGCTTCGTGGGCCGTCTTGGAGCGGTCTTGGGGGCCTCTTGGGCCGTCTTGGAGCGTCCGGAAGCCGAAAAAGCCAGAACACAAAAAACATCGAAAAAACCAATGAAAATCAACGATTTTGGCCTCTTGGGGCTCTCTTCGGAGGCCTCTTGGAAGGCTCTTGGGGCGTCTTGGAGGCCTCTTGGGCTGTCTTGGGGGCCTTTTGGGCCGTCTTGGGGTCATCTTCGGCGTCTTCGAGCGCTCTTTGGGCGTCTCGGGGGCCTCTTGGGCAGTCTTGGGGGCCTCTTGGGGCACTCTGAGCGCGCTCTGGGGAGCCTGAGAGGCCGCACCCAGAAGGAAAACCATCTCTGAGTAGACTTGGTCGGGCGGCGGTCGGGCGGGTCGGGCGGACGGGCGGCGACCGGGCGTTGGTCGGGGTACTTTTCGCCGGGGGACCCCCAGGGGCCGCCCCGCGCGCGCGAACTAGAAATACTGTTAATACTGTTAACCAGTTACCGGAGATCTTAGCACGCCCTGGCCCGTTGGGCCGGCGAATTTTTGTTGACAGGGATGGTGGGGGGAGGGCGCATCGGGTTCGCTGCGCATGCTCCGAATTTGGAGGCAGAGTGTGTTTTGCATTGTTTTTTACAAGGGATGGTGGGGGGGGCCCGCATTGTCCCTGGTTGGCTCCCAGTCGCCTGTGGGAGGGGGTGTATACTAATAGGGAACAGGGAACAGTGATAAACCTCTCCCCGAAGGGGAAGAAGGAGGGGCAACAGAGGAAACATCCTAGACCACCTACGCCCAACTGGCCGCCATGCCGCCGCAGCAGCTCAACGGTCGGCAGCAGCGGCGGCACGCATCGCACCTCGCGGGGCATTGTCTCTGAGCACACACTCGAAAAAGAAAAGGCAGCCACACAAATGACCTATACGACCACCGTTCAGGTGATAAGGAGGCTTGGGGGGGCAAGAACCAACGGCTGGCAGTTGCGATGGGTGCGATGATGACGACGTTGGTGACGCGCCCTGGAGTTGACGACAACGAATGATGAACACGTTGCGCCGCGATGTGACGTCATTATCGGCCCCGCTGTGGATTTCATTCAATAGATCGCACTATCGACCCCATTATCGATTGTGCAATCGATGCAACTATCGATCTCACTATCGGTATCATTGCCGTTCGCACGATTGTTGCAACTACCGATTTCACGATCGACCTCAGTATCGATCCAACTATTCGATCCCTCTGCCGATCTCACCACATCTGGGTCCTTTTCGATCCCTTGATGGATCGGGACACCACGGCGGGACACCGCGGGACACTACGGGACACTACGGGACACCGCGACACACCATCGGGACACAAACGGGGCACCACGGGAACAGCGCGAGACACCACGGCGGCGGGACACGCTTAGCCATCGAGCGCCCACCAGAGGGCTAGACTTTTGCATCCGAATCGCCTTAGCGACGGCGGGATCAGTCCTCGCGCGCGCCCACGGCGAGACACCGCAGGACAGCATTGGAACAGCGCGAGACACCACGGCGGGACACGCTCAGCCACCGCGCGCCCATCAGAGGGCCGGACTTGTAAATCCGAATCTCCCTAGCGACGGCGGGATCAGTCCTCGCGCGCGCCCACGGCGAGACACCGCGGGACACCATCGGGACAGAGCGAGACACCACGGCACCACGGCGGGACACGCTCAGCCACCGCGCGCCCACCAGAGGGCCAGATGTTTACATCCGAATCTCCCTAGCGACTGCGGGATCAGTCCTCTCGCGCGCCCACACAGCTTCGCCTCGCCCGCACGCACGACACGAAGACGAAATCGAAACCGATGTCCCAGTGGGAGGTCCGCGCAGATATCTTGGATATCGGCGCTGGGCCCCCTGGCGGCACTGCTGGCGCCGCCCCTTGCGCGCTCGGAGCACTGGGGAGGGGGTCCAGCGCGGGTCCAAGAAATCCGCGCGGAGCTCCACGTTCATAGCTGTGTTGTACGTTGCTCCATCCACAACAGGCGAGGACACCCAGCGCGCCAAGCATGACCACGGCTGCCCTTCGGCAGCGCGGGGCCGCTTCGGGCTTCGGGAGGGCGCCCCGCGAGCGGAGTCTGGCACACGGGGGAGCCTTGCGAGGTCCTGCGGGGGAGCTCCGGGGGTCGAGGTCCACGGTGAAGTGGCGCACAGGGGTCCGCCAGGGGCGGCGCACAGGGGTCCGCCCCTGAGTATTCAAGGGGCCTGTTTATGGAGGCTGGCTTGGACTACCCCGGGAGGCTGTCTGTGCGCAACCGGAAAACGATGTACCGAAGTGAAGTTGGGGCACCTATAGCCCTTCCAGCACGAATAGACACCCTGAGGGTGCTATGCCTGGCACCGGAACCTGACCGGGTCGAGCTGGCGTTGTCTCGCATGCCTCGCACAGGTTTGGGCAGATCAGTCGGAGGAGGTAGAGCACGGGCTAGAGAGTAGAACACCTGTGCGAAGATTGTCATATAGGCCCAGGAGGCTCACCTCCAGTGGCGTTTGTTCGCCCTGTCTGAGCCTTTGGAGGGCCCTCATGGCGAAGGCTGGACGCGACTCGAAAAGTTGGCCAAGATAGATCTTAGAATGGGTACCGTGGTCCGGTTTTGAGCAGATCTGGGCGGGCGGGCGGTGGGCCGTGTTTTTCCTACGAATTTCAGTTTGCGATTGTTTGAGCTTCCTTCTTGCCCACGCGCCAGACGACGTACAGTATGGCTGATGAGTGAGTGGCACGAGCGCCTGCCAGTTTTCACCCGCGTGTGCCCTGTGCGGCCGCCCCTTCGCAGACACACAGGCTTGACTTTGACCGTGCGCTGGGCCGTGGCTTTCCGTTGCCCCCGGAAGGCCGCGAAGGGCTGCTGCGTGCCGCGCGCCGGGCGCCGGCGCAACAAGAGCGCCAAGGCCCGGCATCGTCGAACACATCCCCATACCCACTTGTCGGGGGAGAAAAAGATACGGATACGTGTTGTCCCCCTTCGTTTTCGGCCTTTCCTTGTCCTCCTGGGGAATCCTCGTTGTCACCGCTGGATTCGCCTCGAAATTCTAGTCAGAACGCACCCCAAGAGAGGTCCGGGGACAACACGTATCCGTATCTTTCCGCCCCCCAAACTTGGGCCACGGTGCTCCAGCCCCACCAGCCCACCCTCCCAGGTTGGGACAGACCCGACGAAACTCCGAAGGGGACAGCAGATGTCCCCACCTGGGGGGCTAATTACGTCGGCCAGTGGGGCCAAGGCCATGCCAATGTGGATCGGGATCGGCTGAACGATGCCCGAAGGCGGTGAAGCACGAGGCCCAGGAGGCCACCCCGAAGGAGGCCAACTCGGCGCACGATGGCAGCCCGGGGATCGCGGGCAGGACCACGGCATCGGCGGGCGCGTGAGGGCGGAGCTGCAAGGCACCGGCGCTGCAGTGCACTCTGACGCTTGCAGCGCGAGGTTGGTGGGCAGCAGGTGGGGAGAGGGGCAAAGGGAGCCGAAAGAGCCCGAGCGACGCAAAACCAAAAAAAAAGTGGTTCGATCGGGCCGACATTGGCGCGCAAGCTGCTCGCGTAAGATCGCGCGTAAGCGCCCTCGTTTCCAGTGTGGCGTGCTGCGCTGGCGGCCCGCGCAAGCCACCGCGCCGCGCACTGCAGGTCGCTACGTCATCTCGCGTAAGGCCCGGTTTTGATCGACGCCCCCATGACGTGGCCGGCCTGGGCGGAGGCTGTATCCGCACGTGGTTACACTGCGTCTCCAGCATTCGGCCCTCGTGTGGTCAGTTGCGCCGGCGTTCCGCGTGGGTATGCACAGAGCGACCTCCGCATGTTCCGAATGCAAGTACAGGCGTGTGTGTGCTGTGTGTTATGTATGCTGTGTGTGGTGTGTGTTGTGTGTTGTGTGTTGTGTATGTGTTGTGTATGTGTTGTGTGCGATGTGTTTTGTGTGTTGTGTGTTGTGTGTTGTGTGTGTGCGTGTATTGTGTGTTGTGTATTGTGTGCGCGTGTGTTTCCAACCCCCATGGTGGGACCAGGGGGGTGCTGGGCGAGCGACTAATTAGAGCGGCCTCTTGGCCAGTTTGAATCATGCCCTCTCCAGAGCATCAGGCAATGCACCAGGACACTCCCGTCCAGGGCTGGGCTGACCCCACCCTGGTGGGCAGATGCATTGCCGTGCACGCGTGGGCAGGCGCGGAGTCTCCACGTGCGGCTCGCCGCCCACCAAGTGTTCTTCGGCTGGCCCCCACCGAGGGTTCAGAGCCGAGAGTGTTGCGCACCTGTTCCCGTCGATCCGGTGGCGCTCCCGCGCACGTCTGCCACTGCTCTGGGCAGGGGTTGGCGGGTAGGGAGAAGGGGGTGGTGGCGGGGGGGGGGGGGAATTGGGGGTTTGGGCGGCGGGGGGGTGCGAGGCGGGGGGGGGGGTTGTCGTGGGCGCTGATGCGACCGTGAGGGGGGGATCGGCCTCCTTCAGCACTGACGTTACGTCGGGCGTGTCCCTCTCTGCAGGAGCAGCGGTGTCTCCACTGCTTCTGGCTATGCTTGATGACTTGCTGACGCTGCTTTCCATTTGTCTTCCCACACCCGCCTGTAGGAGGACTGCAGGAGCAGGGGTGTCTCCACTGCCTCTGGCTATGCTTGACGACTTGCTGACGCTACTTTCCATCTGTCTTCCCACACCCGCCTGTAGGAGGACTCTGCAGGAGCAGCGGTGTCTCCTAGCGCGTCGAAGGAGCTGCGCTCGCCCAGGCCGCCCGCACGGGGCGCCCGAAAACCGCGCGGGGCCGGAGGGCCTCCCCCCCCCTCAGTTCAGGGGGAAAAGAAACACACAGACACAATTAATCGTCGACTCCCAGGAAAATATGCAAAAATATGGGAAGTGGGGGGGAAGACAAACACCCAGAAAATATGGGAAAATATGGGGAATATTTTTATTTGTGTGTATTTATTTGTGTGTCCTAATTTCCCTTTATCAGTGGGCCTTGGAAATGACAGGGCCGTTTTTTTTCCGGTTCCGTTTTGCCGTTTTTGTTGCCGGTTCCGACGCCGTTGTTTTACCGGCTCCGTCGCCGTTCTTTTACAGGTTCCCGCTCCGGTTCCACTCCTGGAGCCGTTTTTGCTGCCGTTTCCGGTCGCCGTTTTTTGCCGTTTCCATTTTCATGGGACATTTTTTCGGAAACGGTGAAAAAACGGCCCTGCCGTTTCCGGGGCCCACTGAGGCCCCCCCCCCGACGCTCCGTGCCTGTGGCTTTACGCTCCAGTCGGGCGCGTCCCTCTGCAGGGGGGACATTCAAAACTAGCCTTTAACAAAAATAGTAGGAGGACGATTGTGGGTAGCCTTTTTGGGGGGCTGCTTTTTGGGCATGTGTGGGGTATCTCTTTTTTCTTCGGCCAAGATCCGCCCGTAGGGGGACAGGCTCGACCGAAGGCCAGTCTTTCGCCCCGGAGCCGCCATCCCTTTGGGGGTTTCAGTGGCAGCGCCCGCACGGCTCGAGCTGCACACGCGTCTTGGCTCGCTGCCTGTCGGGAGAGGGTCACGTCCTGCGCCGCTCGCACTCTGCTCGCCCCTCGTCTTCGCACCCACCTGCCCCGCGGCACTCGCAGCTGCACCGGTCGGACGGGGCTGGGACGAGGATACATCAGTTCTAGAGGTAAGTCGGGCGTGTCCCTCCACAGAAGGAATATCCAAGAATAGTCCAAGAATAGTCGCGGGACGATGATTTTATGATTTGCTTGACAATTTGTTGTATATTTGGAGTATTTGTAATTTTTGTTGCCCACAATCCCCCTGTAGGGGGACGGGCCCGACCTAATACTAGAGCGTTCCAGAGCACCCTCAGAGCGTTCCGGCGCGCTCTGTCTGAGAGGGCCGCGGCGCCCGAGACGTCCTCCAGAGCCGCAGGATCTCAGAGAGTCTCGATCCGTCCTCCTTCGACGTTCTCCTCGCCCTGGCTTCGTCTGATCTTTCGCCCCCGATCCACTCTCCTGGTGGCCCAAAAAAATATAAGATACTGGAAAATATGGGAAGCGGGGGGGAAGGCAGACACCCAGAAAAGATGGGAGAAGATGGGGAATCCGTTGATCTGTGTGCATTTCTTGGTGTGTCCCGGGGCCCCTCCGGTGCCGCGGCGGCGCGGAGCACAGGTCGGAACGGAGGGCTGGGGCGGCGAGAGGCGGCGCGATCCGGAGCCCGCTAGGTGTGCCCCACCCCGACGTCGCCGGGGGAGAGATTCGCGGCGCCTCCGCGGCCCCTCCTTGGGAACCCCCAAACCGGGTGGTGAGATACCAGGTGGCGACCTGGAATCCCCAAAAAGGTCACCGCTGGGTTTGGGGACGCGGGGTCACCACCGGGTTTTGTAACTCCTGGGCCCACCAGTGTCCGGGACATCCTCGGAAAACCGCACGAGTCCCCAAACCGGGTGGTGACACCAAATCGCCCGAAACTCACCGCCAGGTCTTGTCACCACGTACTACCAACCTCCGACCTCTCCTCCGCTCGGGCCCCACTTGGCAGGCAGCCTCTTCGGAGGTCCTTCCCCTCTGCGTCCCGCAGGCATCGGGCGTCTCGAAGAAATCGAGGCGGAGGTTTTTCCCAGTGTTTGGCCTCTCGGGGCCGTCGCCGGGCCTCGGGACCGTCAAAAAACGGCACGGGATGAAAAACCGGTCCCGGGGAAGTGGTCGGGAGGTCGGGGGCCCGTGTCTCGCAAAAATCGAGACGTCGGATGTCTGGGCCCGCAGGGGCCTCCGTGGAGGCCTCTGGCGCCTGGAGGCCCCGAGCCGGGGCCGAGGCACGCCCAGAAGCCGGGGACGATGTGCACCGTTCGGGCGGGGTGGTACGGGGGGGGGACCTAAAGTAGGGGGTGCAGAGCACGCAGGCAAGAAGCCTGGCGCGTAAACGGCGCATCGGCACAGAGGGAAACTGGCGCCCCATGCGGCTCACGCTTTCCTCAAGGCAGCGCTACGTAGACGCAGGGAGCCCAGTGCTGCTCTGAACGGTTCTCGTCCCAGATTCAAGGCGGGGGGTGCAGAAAGGGGCCCTAAAGGGGCCCTTGAGGGCCCGCCAGCAGGGACCCTGCAGGCCTAAAGGGCCGCTTCGAGACCCTTTTCTTCACTTCCCGTTGAGGTCACCCCCCCTTACCACCCGCCCGAGCCGTGCTGTAAGTCAGTGGGGATTCGGGGTGATCGCACGGTCTTGATTCGGGTCGCTCTCCGAAGCTGTTTCGGGCGCCTGGGGCCTCTACGGTCCCAAACACCGTGCGGGGACAGACCTTGCGGTGAGGTCTTTGGGGATTTCGAGGCCACTGCACGGTCTCCTCCTCCTCCTCCTCCTCCTCCTCCTCCTCCTCCTCCTCCTCCTCCTCCTCCTCCCCTCCTCCTCCCCCTCCTCCTCCCCCTCCTCCCCCCCTCCTCCGCCTCCTCCTCCCCTCCTCCTCCCCCTCCTCCTCCCCCTCCTCCTCCCCCTCCGCCTCCCCCTCCTCCTCCTCCCCCCCATCAACCACCCAAGGAGCCCCCGCCCTCGATCCAGCTCCCCACTCACGCGCCCGCGCACGCTGCCTTGAGCGCGGTGGCGGGCGTTGCGCCCCCAGAGGGCCTCGCGCATCGCGCATCGGAGCGTCGGTCTCGGACCGCACGCAGAGGAAAAAGTGCTGGCGGCGCCCGCAAGGGGTCAGCGCGAGGGGAGGGAGGGATTTCTGAGAGGGCGACGGGGCCTCTGAGAAGCTTCTGAAGAGGAGAAGAAGAAGAGAAGAAGGAGGAGGAGGAGGAGGAGGAACAAAAAGAAGAAAGACGGAGGAGGAGGAGGAGGAGGAGGGACAGAGAAGGAGGAGGAGGAGGAGAAAGAGAAAGAGAAAGAGAAAGAGGAGGAGGAGGGAGGAGAGAGGAGGAGGAGGAGGGAGGAGGAGGGAGGAGGAGGGAGGGAGGAGGAAAAGGAGAAGGAGACGGAGCAGGAGCAGGAGCAGGAGCAGGAGGAGAAGGGCGGAAGCAAGAGGAGGAAGAGTTGCCACTCCCCGTGCCTCCTGCCGAGGAGCTCGCCGAGATGTACAAGCAGCTCCCTGGCAACCTGAGGAGGGTTCCGCCTGCCGGCCCGGCGCCCGGGAGGCCTGGGGAAGGACGAGAGGGGCACGCGGGACCAGTTGGACATTTTCCTCCTATCCCACCTCCTCCTCCTCCTCCTCCGCCGCCTCGTTCTCTCCTCCTCCTCCTCCTCCTCCTCTCCTCCTCCTCCTCCTCCTCCTCCTCCTCCTCCTCCTCTCCTCCTCCTCCTCATCTTCCTCCTCCTCCTCCTGCTCCTCCTCCTCCTCCTCCTCCTCTCCTCCTCCTCCTCCCCCCCCGAAACCTCAACATCGTGCGCATCATCACGATTTAGCCTTCATCATCATGATTTTCATCATGATCATCCTCTCTCCACCACCTCTTGCTCCTTACCCTCCGCCTCCTGCTCGTTCTCCCCCCCTCCCTTCTCCCCATTTCGTCCGTATCCTCGACGTCTTCCTCCCTCCTCCCTACACCTTGTTATCCACCTCCTTATCCTGCTCCATCTCCTCCCCTCCTCCCGCGCCCCCATCCCAACCCCCTTCATCCATCTTCCACGTCTTTACCCGAGCTCAGGCTGGCCCCCCCAGAGCCTTCGGAGTTTGCCCGGAGCCGCCGCGGGTGCTTCTTTCGCGAGAGCCGGACGGAGAGCGCGCAGCCATCATTCTCTCTCTCTCTCTCTTTCTCTCTTTATCCCTCCCTCTCCCTCTCCCTCCAGAACCACAACCTGCGGATGATAAAGCATCCCCCCTTCACCCTTGCATCTCTTTACAAACGGGACCGGGGGTGGCTCAACTGCCACAGCTGGTGGGGAGGCCGAACTTTATCATCACCTCCAAAGTTCCAATCGTAGCTCTGATCCTCATTTCATGCATAGCACCATGAATAGTCATTATTATCACTTGTGTGAGGACATCTCAGGCGAAACGCCAGTTTCGAAGATTCGCCGAATTATTGACGATCGATCCAAACATCCTAACATCGGCATCTGCGGGGAAAAGTTGATTATCCTCCCTGGACCCCGAACTTGATCATCCCGAGGGGATTCTTCTCACCAGCATCGGGTTAAGCCAGCCCCAGAGGACCCCACGCCGAAGACTACCAGTAAGTGTCCTCTCCCCCCCAGGAGCCTCCCCGGGCCCCCTCTGGATTTTCCACCGCCCCCCTCCAAGAGGACTCCCAAGAGGGCCCGAAGAGGCAAAAACCGTCGCAATTCTTGCGTGAGGCATACATTTCTAGCACATTCGCTTTTCTAATTGTCGAGAGCCCAAGAGACCCCCAGGAGAGCCCCAAGACGGCCCGAGAGGTCCCCAAGAGGACCCCAGACGGCCCAAGAGGGCCCCAAGACGGCCGCCCAAGAGGCACCAAGAACCGCCCAAGACAGCCCCAAGGGGGTCCCAAGAGAGGCCCCCGGGGGGAATTCGAAGCCACATGTCAAGCTTCCCCAAGAGGTCCCCGAAGACCGCCAGCAGGCCCCAAGGACCCCCCAGGAGGCTGGCTTCCAAGAGGCTGCTGGCTTCTCCAGAGATCCGAGCGGGCATTCAAGAGGTCTCAAGCGGCCTCCGTAGAGACTACATTTTTTTGGCACGCCTCAAATCGAACACACAGGTATGCAAAATTCTCCCCCTCACTCCTCCTCATCCTCGTTCTCCCCCTCCCACTCCTCCTCCTCCTCCTCCTCCTCCTCCTCCTCCTCCTCCTTCTCCTCCGCCGCCTCCTCCGCCTCCGTTCCTCTTCTGAGATGCTGTGCCTCCTCTCATCCTCATCCGCCTCCACGTCTCTCATCTCTGCGCCTCCCACCCCTCAACACCTTTTCTCTCTGACTTCGCATCTCTCTCGTTCGTGCACCCTCCTCCCTCATGTCTATCTCGCCTCCGCCTTCTCCCCCATCCAGCCCTATTCCGTACTCGTGTGCAGCTTCTTCCGTGCCCTCCTCTCTCCCGTTTCATCCTTCTCTTGTTTCCTGCCCTCTATTTCGTACAGTTGCCTTCCTGCCCCCTCCATCCTCCTCCCCGCCTCGGCGATTCCCCTTCATCCATCCCTCCGCCCCGCCCCTCCCCGGCCCTTTCCCTTTCACGTTTCATCCCCCTGTCCTCCCCTCCTCCGCCTCCTCCTCCTCCTCTTCCCACTCCTCCTCCTTCGCCTTCTCCTCCTCCCCCTCCTCCTCATCTTCCTCCTCTTTGTTGTTCGTCCGCCTCCTCCCTCCACCGGCCCCCGTCCCCACTCCCACTCCCGTATTTAGCTTCCACCTGTTCCCGCCTTCATCCATTCTGCTCGTCTTGCCACCTCCTTCCTCCTATCTTGCCTCCTGGCACCATTATTCCTCCATCCATGTACAGGGAGCCCGACACTGGGGGCCCAGGCCGCAGCACACACGGGGCACCCAAGGTCCCCAAGTGGCGCCCCCCCTCCAGGGGTCTCCCCAGGAGTCTCCTGGAGCTGTGCAGAAGTTCCAAGAGGGCCCCACACCGGTCCTAGGAGGCCCCCAGGCTGCCACATTAAAAGTTCCCAGCAGCAGACTGAGGCCCCAAGAGGCCGCCAGAGTGCCCGCACAGGACTTCCAAGCAAAAACTAAAAGGGATCCCAACGTGGTTTCCTTTCGTTTCTGGAGTTCTCATGTGTTGCCAACGCGTGGCTCCAAGACGGCATCGAAGGCTCCAGTGGTCCCGAAGAGAGTTGCAAGATTGTCCGAGGACAGCCCATGAGCGCGCGCGATGGTTCTAGTACTTGCACACATATAAGAGTATACGCGCTCCATAAAAGGCATCTGTACACATATGTGTGTGTATATATATATGTACACGTACATCGCAGCACCTCGAAGCGTCCCCCACTCCTCGACGGGGACGTGGTCGGCCGCGCCACGTAGGCGCCCAGCGCTGCTGCCGCCACGGTGCCGGCGCTGGCCGATGGCGGCACACGTTCGCACACTCTCCCCGGAGGAGGACCAGAGCCGTACGGCCAACACGAATAGTAAGGATAAGCGGCTGTCCGAGGTGACCTTTGTCAGAGCCCCGAATCATCAGGGGTGACTCGGGTCAGGGTTAACTCGGGTTCGTTTTCGGGAATCCGAACCCGAGTTACCCCTGGCCCGAGTTACCCCGGATAATTCGGGCGTCCAGAGCCCCGAATCATCAGGGGTAACTCGGGTCAGGGCTAACTCGAGTTCCTTTTCCGGGAATCCAAACCCGAGTTACCCCAGACCCGAGTTACCCCGGATAACTCGGGCGCCCAACTTTGCATCTTTTCAGGAGGAGAAAAAACACACAGACACAATGAATCGTCGATTCCCCCGAAAATATGGGAAAAAACATGGGAAGTGGGGGGAAGACAAAAACCCCGAAAATATATGGGAAAATATAAGGAAACGGTTTGTATGTATTTATTTGTGTGTCCCAGGGCCCCTTCATCCTTCCCCTGTGGCCCATCCTTGGCCCCTTTCGCAGGCCAGCCCCGTTCAAAAAGAACGTCAGCATGGCCTTCCGAGGCCCTTGCATCCTTACCGCGCACCCTTAGTATTCGGTCTGACCGCATCTTCGTCGCACCCACACATGGAAGGAGGTTGGAGCTGGGGTTGCGGATGTCGTATTCCTCCTCCACCTCCATCTTCAGGATGGGAAAAAACACACAGACACAATTAATCGTCGATCCCCAGGAAAATATAGGAACATATGGGAAGTGGTGGGGAAGACAAAAGTTCAGAAAATGTGGGAAAAGATGGGGAATCTGTTCATCTGTGTGTATTTATGTGTGTGCTTGTGGACCCCTTCACATCTCCCAGTCCTCGAAGAAGATCAAACACCATATGCCTAAACTTTTGGCGCTCCGCGCGGCTGTCTTGGATCCGCTCTGGGCCTCCCCGACGGCGCCTCCGGCGCCGCCCCCCGCGCGCCCCGCGCGCCAGGGAGGGGCGTCCAGCGCAGATCCAAGAAAGCAGCGCGGAGCGCCAAAATCTCATGTTTATGGCGTTTTTTGTTCCGTCTTCTAAGTCCTCCTCCTCCTCCTCCTCCTCCTCCTCCTCCTCCTCCTCCTCCTCCTCCTCCGCCTCCGCCTCCTCCTCCTCCCTCGCCCTTGCTGGCGGGTCCTGCCCGCGCGGGGGCCGAAGCGTGACCGCCTCCCGGAAGCAGCTTGGGCCTGCGCTGTCTGCCACGGGCACGGGCTCGTCGAGGGCCTCTCGGGTGGCCTTGGGTTCCCTGGTCGTGAGTCGGGCATGTCCCTCTACAGGAGGAATAATATCCAAGAGTTGGAAAAACTACACTGGGGACGACTTGGCGATATTTTTTGACTAAACGTGTTTGTTGATTGTTTTTTGGTTCATCCGAAATCCGCCTGTAGGGGGGCAGGCCCGAGTTAACCATGGGCGGAGCTGCCGTACAGCCCACGCATCGCGTTCGGCTCAGGAGGTGTTTTGGTTTTCGGGCCGTTCCTTCGGTCTACTGTCGGGAGCTTTGGGATAGTGCCGCTCCGCCGGTTTTGGCCCACCACGCTTCGGCGCGCCACGTGGTACACTTCCCCGTCCCCCAGTGTCCACGTGCCGAGCCTTTCCGGGCTTCCCGCCCCGCGGAGCGGAGCGACATGTTATCCACTTGCAAGGCACTGCGTGTCGCGAGGGCCGCCGCTGCGACACGCTATCCAAAAGTTCCCGAACTTAGGTCAGAGAACGTATCCGTATCCGAGACTCGCCGTGGCCAAAAAAGCCCCTTCGTTCCTTCTTCAGCGCCCCAGATGGTAGCACGATGGTTGTGTTCGTAGTGGCTTGTCTTAGGTAAGGACTGGAACACCAGGGTGACTGGACAATGTGGCAAGGAACACAGTTAGCCCATGACGGGCCCGAGATCCCCGAGGGGGCTCAAGAATCCTAAGGTCCTTCCGCAGCGTCAGGGTCTTCGCTGGGTTCTCCGAAGATATGCAGCCAAGCAGGGCGAAAAGCAGGCCTCGCCTCTTCTTGAAGGCTCCTCGGGGCAATGCTTGGACTGAGGGGGGGCTCTGAGGCAGGAAAAACGCTACAGGTTACTGGGCCGGGACTTGAGCAGGACTTGACCGTTTCGAGGAGAGCGCGCAACAGGGCACAACGGAGCTGTCGCTGAGGAGGCAGCTTTTCGAGCGGTTCTTTCGTGTGGGAGGGGGGGCGGGGGCGGCCTGGCCATCTGAGCGCCCTAAAGAAACGGGGTCGTCTGCACGGACATGGAAGCGCAAGCTGCCCGGGTCAGGTTGCGTGTCAGCGCCGCGCCGTTCCCACGCGGTCTGCCGCGATCGCGGCCCGCGTAAGCCACCGCGTAAGGTCGCCACGTCCTCTCGCGCAACGGGCCTTTCTATCCGTCGGTCCTCCTGGTCTACAGTCAGCGCGCATGGTAAGGACGCGCGCCTTTTCTAGGGTACCCCTTGCGGCCTTGCCGCTGCGGCCCGTCCTCTGCCGTTTTCACCGGCCGCCTGGCACCCCAAAAGTCCCAGCTTTAGTTTCCGAGGGCCTTGCGTCCTTGCCATCGATCCTCAAGCTACGTACGTCTTCGCTGTACAGGGAGTTCAAAAAACTAGACGGACATACCCGGCTTCAGTCTCGCGGACCTACTCTAAAATCATATTTCTAAAATTCTTTATTTTGCTTCATGCCCTGCCGTCATGCCCATGCAATGCCCTTATTTTGTACAGTGCAGGAGGGCGAGGTGGAGCCCTCGCCGCCGTGGCCGCGCACGCCGCCGCGAGGCGCGCGCGAGCTGCCCGGGGGGGTGGACTGCGCCTCCGCTCCGCTCCCCGGGAGGAGCGGGGGAGGAGCGCGGGCCGGTGCTGCTGTGCTCGGTGCCGGGTCGCTGCGGCCGAGCTCGGATCGTCCACGCGGAGAGGGGGGCCAAGCAGTGGCGAAGCGTCCTGGCTCGCCTATAGCCCTACCAAACAATGTTCTAAGAACCTTTTGTGGTTTCCACGAAATGTTCTTCGAACATTTCTGGCGGAGTCTGTCTTGTTTGAACACATCGGGCTTATGTTATAAGAACAATGTTTGCGTTCTTAGAACAGTTTTGTGTTCTAAGAACATTTCGTGGTAGGACTATAGGAATGCCGGGACGGTCGGTCCCTGCTCAAGGGGGTGGGGGGAGGGGGGAGGGCTTCTTAGAAGCACCCCTGCTTCTTGAAAGAAGGCGCGGGCCTTCTCTGTAGACGTAAGGCCCGCGCCTTCTAAGAAGCAGCCTCCTCAGAAGCCTACCCCCCTCGCCCATACCCCCCTTGTGCGCGCCGCCAACTCGAAGAAGAGGAAACGGCTTAAGCATAAGTTGTTGGCGCCCCGCGGGAACTGGGACTCTCGTCTGGCGGCGGAGTGCCGAGGGGAGAGCGGAAGACCTTCTCCTCCACCCTCTCCTCTCCTCCCCAAGTCGACAGAGCTAGAAGAAGAAGAAGAAGTCGCCCAAAGCGTGAACTGTTAGCGCTCCGCGCGGATTTCCTGGATCCGCGCTGGATCCCCTCCCCCGGCGCGCGCGGAGCGCGCCAGGGGCGGCGCCGGAGGCGCCGCCCGGGGGGCGCCCAGCGCGGATCCAAGAAATCCGCGCTGAGCACCAAAAGTTGATCATTGTGCCGTTGTTTCTTCTTCTGGAGATGGGCACGGAGAGATCAGGAGGGAAAGAAACACACAGACGCAATTAATCGTCGATTCCCTTGAAAATATGGGAAAATATGGGAAAATATGGGAAGTGGGGGGGGAGACAACAAATCCATAACATATGAGAAAATATGGGCAATCATGTTATTTGTGTGTATTTATTTGTGTGTCCCAGGGCTCCTTCAAGAGAGCGGGGACGAAGACCAGCAGGCAGTTCCTGTCCGTGCCGAACGTCGGGGGCGTTAGCCCTGTGAGGCACGAGGTCGCCTGCCCAACTGCGGCCGCGGTCGGTGTTTGGCCACATGGATTGCTGGGTATCCTGCCCATGCTTGTCTGCACGAACGAAATGGGCACGGAAAGAGTAGGTACAATGCCCAGCAGCGGATCTTGTTCATTTTGAACAGGACTCGCTGTCCACGCCGCCGCGGCCTGTGTTCATTCGAGACAGAAGGCCGCCTGCCCAACAGCGGCCGCTGTTGGTTTAAGACAACATTTGTTGTTGGGCATTGTACCCATTATTTCCGTACCCATTTCGGGCGTCCAAAGTTTTGTCCGTGCCCACTCCAGGCGTGCCACTCGTTGTAAGCACAGTTATTCGCCCACTGTGAGCCCCACTCTGATATTGCAAGTATGGCTGGACCAGAAGAAGACACCAGCCAACCAAAGCAAGCAAGTACAGAACAGACAAGCAAACAAAACGCCCGTCGGAGGCCTGAATCTGTTGATGCTTGCTTGCTTCTGCCAGGATGGAGCCCTCCCTCAGCAAGAAGGACGACTGCGTCCTGACGCGCGAGGTGCGCTTGGGCCTGGCATCCGACTGCCAGAGGCCGGGCGCGAGCCCTCTCCGCCCCACCCCCCGCGGGTCCGAATGCCCCCCGCCCATCCCCGCCATCGTCCTCGACCTCGTCGCCCTCCCTTCTCCGCCCTTCTCATCCTCCTCCTCCTCCTCCTCCTTCTCCTCCTCCTCCTCCTCCTCCTGACCGCCCGCTCCGCTCACGCCCACGCCATGTTGGACATCAAGTCTTGGTGGGACTCCATTTGCTGACTGAAGCTGGGGCAAGCGTCTCTTCGTCTGGGCCTCCCGCCTGCCAGCCTTGCCCTGGGGTTGCAGCAGCGCCTGGCGGCCAAAGTGCCGGAGTGCATCACTTCTTTCTCATCATGAGTAAGGCCACGGTACAGGCGCCTCCCCACAGCTCTCCTGGCACTCGAAAGGTAGCACGAAAGGCGGCACGGAAGGCAGCACGAAAGGCGGCAGGGCGTGGCCGGGAGCGCGGGCTGCCAGAAGCGCCCCTGGCCCGAGGTGTCCCCAGGACCCTCCTCCTCCTCCTCCTCCTCCTCCTCCTCCTCCTCCTCCTCCTCCTCCTCCTCCTCCTCCTCCTCCTCCTCATCATCATCATCATCATCATCATCATCATCATCATCATATCATCATCATCATCATCATCATCATCATCATTCTCCTCCCCCCTCCTCCTCCTCTTCCTCCTCCTCCCCCTCCTCCTCCTCCTCCTCCTCCTCGTCCTCCTTCTCCTCCTCCTCCTCCTCTTCCTCCTCCTCCCCCTCCTCCTCCTCCTCCTCCTCCTCCTCCTCCCCCTCTCGGGGTGGCACAGACGGCCTCCAGCGGGGATCTGCTGACCCGGGTCAATCCAGGCCCGGGTCAGTCAGGCCTTGCAGGATCCTGCAAGATCCTGCGCCCAAGCCTGGGTAAACGCCGAGGATCCTGCAGGATCCTGCACCCAAACCTGAGTCAATGCGACCCTGGCCCTGCAGGATCCTGCCAGATCGGACGTTTTGGCTGACCCTCGTTTGCATTGATCCCCGTCTCAAGGCTCCCGACTCCAGAGCACCCCTCGCGAGGTCCAGGGGCGCCGGGGGCTCCAGAATGAAACGAACAGCTGGGGGCACCTGGGAACAGGGGCACCTTCTTGGCAACCCCCGAGGAGTGTGGGCTGCAACGGCCCGGTGCCCCATCGAAGGAAGACGAGCGGCATGCATCGAAGATCGACTAGACATACGGCAGGTTCATGCGGCGACGGCGCGCCGGCGATGCCGGCGAAGGCGTTCAAGGTTGAACTGCGCATGATTGAATGGCGTGGAAGCACTGAGTGGCACTGTAACGCCGCAGGACCCGACGGAATTCAACCTCGAGCGATCGGGGCCGCGATCGGTTCAAGGTTTGACGGGGTCAAGAGCCCTGGCGCGCGCCGACGCCGCACGAACTTGCCGTACGAGTGACCTTTCGCCAGGGTGACCCTTGCTGTGGGCCCAATGGGGTCCCTGGATCGCTGGGCGCGAAACGGCGACAGCGGCTCGCGCGCCCGTGGTTGGCCACCCGGCGTCCCCCGTGAAGCTGCGCACCAGAGATCACTCTTGCCCAGCGTCATTCTAACATGTAGCCGAGAAGAAGAAAGCTCTGCATAAAGATACATGTTCTACGGTGCGCGCGGATTTCTTGGATCGGCCTGGGCGTGGGCGTCCCTCTCCAGAGTCCGCATCCGCGAATTGCCTCGCCCACCCGACGAAGGGGGGCAGCGAGGAGGCGAAGAGGAACGGCGACCCAGGAGAAGGAGGAGGAGGAGGCGGAGGAGGAGGAGGAGGAGGAGGAGAAGAAAGCGGAGGAGGAGGAGGTGGTGGAGGAGGAGAAGGAGGAGGAGGAGGAGGAGGAGAGGGAGGAGGAGGCGGAGGCGGAGGCGGGGGAGGAGGAGGAGGAGGAGGAGGTGGAGGAGGAGGAGGACGAGGACGAGGAGGAGGAGGAGGAGGAGGCGCAACCACCGCTGCGACGCTGAGCCCCCGCCTCGTTTCTCCCTTCGAGGTCATGCTTGTCCTTCCCTCTCCCTCCTTCCTCATCTGTCTGTCGTCCCTGTTAACTTCTACCGCTCCGCCAGTGGCCCCTGGAGCTGTGCTCCAGGGGTCACCGGGCCCCAAGTTGATCACCCCCCCAGAGCCGACCTGCCCTGCAGGGGGGGAGGCGTCGTCTGTACGACCATGCAGCCACCAGGAACCAGGAACCATGAGGCGGAGGAGGAGGAGGGGGAGAAGGAAAAGGAGAGGCGTGCGAGGAGGCGGGGGAGGAGGATAATTGTTTTATGGTTTAGTTGTTCCTTTTTCCCCTTCCGAAGTTCGCCTCTGGCCTCGTTTTTTTCCGCACGTGCCTTCTGCCGAATTCACTGCTTGCCACCTTGCCCCAGCCGGAGCTGGGCTCTCTCACGAACACAACAGCCACGACATTCAGGTTTGCCGAACGCAGAGGGAGGAGGAGGAGGAGGAGGAGGAGGAGGAGGAGGAGGAGGAGGAGAAAGAGGAGGAGGAGTGAAAGGCGAGGAATGGGAGGAGGAGGGGGGAATGGGAGGAGGAGGCGGAGGAGCAGCAGCAGGAGCAGGAGCAGGAGCAGGAGAAGGAGAAGGAGCAGGAGGAGAGGGAGGAGGAGGAGGACGAGGAGGAGGACGAGGAGGAGGATGTGGAGGAGGAGCAGCAGGAGCGTTTTTTTTTTTTTCATTTCAACCTCTGATAGATCCTAGTGGGAGCTATATACCAAGGAGAGGAGCGAGGCGAGCACCGCTGCAGGGAAGCGCACAGGCAATGGCGTTGCATCGCCTCGCGCGGCCAGGGGCAGGTCGACGCAGACAGCGATTTTAGCCAATCCGCCGCCGAAAGCCAGTACCTCGTGGGAGGCGGAAAGCACCCAGTGAAGTCCTGAGGCACCCCTACAGGAAAATGAAGCGACGCAGGAGCCCCCGCCGCGCACGACGAGCAGGACAATTCTGAGCACAGACGCCGACAGAAGATGGACAAATCGAATTGCCAGGAGACCTGCCTAGGCCTGAAATTTCTCACCAGGTTTGAGTCCACATTTATAGTGGATGAGGGACACATGCGAAAGACGGATACCGACAGAGGCCTTAACCAGCACGGGGCTTGCCACCGCGCAAGTTTTCGAGGAACCAAGCCTACTCTTGAACACCACGACGATGCCCATGAGCAACACCTGGACCACGAGCCGCCCCGGGATACCGGCGAACTGCATGACGAAGGCCACGACCACCGCGGAGGGGCCGGCGAGCAGCACGAGCTTGGCTGGAGCATGCGTGGCAGCCTGCAGCCGCCAGTGGCAGAGGCCCAGGAGCGGCGAGCCGATGCTCCCGAACGGTGCCACGAAGCCCAGGAACTGCACGAAGAAGCCCATGAGCACCGTGAGGAGGCCAACGGAGTGCGCGAAACCCGTGTACGCGACGACGCCCCACAGCAGCACGAAGACCCCCCCAAGCAGCACGAAGCAGGCCACGGCCACCACGAGAAAATCCACCGCGAGCGAGGCGAAGGCACTCGAGCAGTGAAACGGAGCCCTCCACGATGCCGCCAAGCCGCACGAAGAAGGCGCCGATGAGCGCGAGGGTAAGGAACGTGGGCAGCGTGATGCAAACCTTGGAACACGTGGAGGGCCCCGAGAAGCGTGAGGAACACCTTGAGCCGCTCGAAGCCCCTGAGGAAAGAGATGAAGCCCATGACCACCGCGAAGGAGACCACGCGCAGCACGACGAAGACGGGCTGAGAGCAGGCAACCTCGAGGTAGGTGAGCAGGCCACGTACATCAAGGAAGCCCACGAATATAACCTGGTAAGCACACGATGCCGACCCAGCTCTTCACGCCCGCGAAGCAGCAGGCGCGCTCAAGCCCGCACACATTGTGGTCCAGCGGCTGGGCCTCAGGTCGAAAACGAGCCTGCCAAAAAGGGCACGGGGGCCCGCTCTCGAGCCGAGGAGGCTTGAGGAGGAGCAGCAGGAGCGTGAGGAGGAGGAGGAGGAAGAGGCAAGTGGAAAGTAGGAGCAGATGCCAGGGGGGAGGCCTCCTCCTCCGCCTCCTCCTCTTCTTCCTCCTCCTTCCTCCTGTTTGTTCTCATGCCTCCTTCGTCCCAGCCTGGTTTGCAGCAGCACGGGCACGCCGGCACACCTATCACGTCGGCTTCAACGCTTTGGCACACGAGTGCGACGCGACCATCTGTTCTACATCTGCAGTTCAACCTTCCCGCCTGGACGACAACTCACCAGGCAAAAGCGACACGGACAAAATGGGACAGAGACAACATGTTTGAGGCCTTCCATGGCGCACACGAGTGTGATGCTTATATTATTGCCGTGGAACAAAGATTGCAGCAGGATGAGGAGCGTATGCGATATCTTACTTCTAGAACGCTGTCTGATGCATTGTGGGCACAATTCGAAGGTGCAATGGTAAAGGTTGGAGAAGATTTTTTTCGCAACGGAGCAGCATAAGGACCAACGATACGCAGCATTTCAGGCACACCATCGGCAATTGCTACACCAGCGCCAAGAGTTTCGAGCGGCACTGGGCAATACAAGTGGGTTCGTGGCTTCCTCTGCTGTGCTTCTTACATCGTCGAATTCAGCGATGGCTTCACATAGTGGTGGGCCTGGCATCGGACCTGAGCACCCCCACCTATCGGATGAGGAACGATGGATCTCGGAAGAGCTCCGAGGTCTGCCCCGACACCTGAAGCGGGAGCGGATTTTGGATTGGAAGGCTTTTTCAGGAAAGATCGACCACGGAGATTCGGGAGCCGTGGCGGAAGTGAAAATTTTATGACGCGCGCCGCCTGGCCAGATTTGCAGCAGGCAGCAAGTTCGGCACGAAGCGACGCCCTTATTTAGCAGCACAGGTTGCGCCACCGACAGAGAAGGAATGGTTGGATCAGCCTTTTCTCCCTGGGCGCGAAGGAGGCACGCAGGCTACACTGCTCCCGCCCTGGGTCAACTACGCCCGAGCTCGAGCGGATGAAGATCTGACCCCTGATTCGACCAGCCCCTTGA